AGTAATTTCAATCCTCTAAAGGTTAATGAACGCTCTAGAGAAAAACGGAGCTCCATTTTATTTAAACTCCAGTTAAGTCAGCTATTTTTAATATGGTAGTTTCTTCTCTTGTCTTTCAATTTCTATAATTTTACATCGAGTGTTGTGATTCCGAAAAACAAGAAACGAAAACCTGGCTCGTATTCATGTTACACAGGGGGAAAACCACGAAAATACTGAAGCAGCCAGCCCATTCACCAGGATTCGAACCTCGGTCAAACTATCAGCATTCAGCTGTCTTATCCAATCGGCTCCATTTGGTAAAGAAATGATGCACTAGATAATGTTCAAGATCAAATTTTTCAAAAAATTTATAAGTTTAAATAATTCAAAGTACTGATGTACTTTTACGTGTTTAGTCGCTACCTAGTCATCTGACATTTTACCAAACAAAAGATTTAGAATTAACTGGAAATCCCGGGGAGAAAATTCCTAAAGGCCAGGCGTGAAAAAGCACTTTGCATAAATTCGGGGGACCTCCAGCGGCGTAATGCCATTCCTTGAAGCGATCGGGCTACGTGCCAGAACATCCGTTGTAGTACCATCATCCGCGTCGGTTTATTGCAGTTCACACACTCATTCAGTTTTAGGATTTCAACCCTCTATGTCTTTGCACTTTTGCAAATTTTCCCATCATTCTTTTTGTTTATGTAGCAACCGAACACAGGATTTAAACAAAAACACACCGTGAAGTCCAAATCGAAGGTTTATTTCAGCGAACAGTAGCAACGGAACAGAAAAAAAAGCCAGCCCTCTTTTTATCTGTCGACAAGTTGTTCAACACGAATATACTCGATTATCATATACTTGACTAGGTAAATATAAATGCCACTTTTTAAATGACTGTTGCGCTTTTTAATTGTCCTTCACATTACCATAATTCAATAACAAAGTAGAATATAATAGATAAATGAAAACTATACATTTAAAAACACAAGGAAGAGGAGAGACTTCTAAATTTTTGTTCACTAGTTGCTTTCTTATATTACATTCTTCAAATTCAATTTTTTAATGCCTCAAAGACATGTTTTATTGTTTATATTACGTGACTTTCGCTGCCAGAAAAGGATATCTTCCTTTTTCCGTGATTCCTGTTTCCGCGGTTGTCAAAATCATTCCTGTTTCCGCGAAATCATCAATCTTCATTACCCCTTTTCCCAAAGGGGTTACATAGTGTGGGGGGGGGACCAAGTGGACCTTGGCCTCTCCCGAAAGTAGGAAAGCAAAAATTTTTTAATTTAAAAAGAATTTTTAAAAGAAATAATCCCAAAGTATTTACGATCTCAGATCTTTGCATGAATGAAGAAAATACTGTATTTAAAAGGAGAGAGAGGGAGATGTTAAAAATCTGCGATGATTTTTGGCAATGAACTAAAAAATCGTTTCCTAAAGTAAAAAGCAATATTCTTCCAAAATTCTGCATTAAAATGAGTTATAATAAAATCTTTCAGAATGCATATTTGTTCTAAAATGACGCTTTTTTCTTCTAAAAAAGGACTATCAGCGGCCGAGCGGTAAAGTAGCTAAACACTGGTAGTTCGGTCCGAGGTTCGAATTCCGCGAACGGGCTGGCTGCATGGGCGTTTTCGTGGTTTTCCCCATGTGTAACGTGCATACGAGCCAGTTTCCCTTAGAAAGTCCTCCCACGAAGGCATCCCTACCTTTAGGCAGATAGCCCTTGAGGCTTTGCCACAATCACACACACATTTCTTCTAAAACGACTACTTCTTTGGTCTCAATTGCGCTTTTGCAGCTTTTAATTCTTTCATTTATGCAGATCCAATAAACTTCTTTTTCCTTATTTTTATTCTGAATTCGCCACTGATAACCTTTATAAAGGGCTAAAGGTTTTTTCCTTTTAGCTCCAATAATGTCCAAAACATCCATATTGATTAATATAAGATGTGCAAATAACAGCTAATATTGTAGCAAAATTACAAATGGAATGAAACCTAAGATTTCAAAAGGAGCCTAAACTAAGACACGTCTTCAATCTAACAAAGGCTAACTTATTCACAAAAAAAAAAAAGAAAAGAAAAGGAAAAAAAAAAAAAAAAGAAAACCAGCCCAGCTCTTTTTAAGACTCATCGTGACATCTCCTGAAGAGCTGTGGGACGGTTACTGTTCTCTCCGATTTCGCGGGAAAAGAAAGAATTTTGAAAAACGCGGAAAGGGGAATCGCGGAAACAGAACTAATTCCCAGAAAGGCTGCTACTTCCATACCGAGAAAGCCTCGTGCGCAAGCGACGCATTGAGAAAAGTGCACAGTTATGTTATGAAAATTTACATCCTTTTTCTTTATTAAGTAAGACCTAAGTCTTGATGTACCATTGGTGTTTGATGAAATAAAAGTTTTTTATTCTGCATTGGCTGTACAATTCGATAGCAAGATATCATTTTATCTTCCGTTTCTTGAATTTCTGAGGATTAATTCTTTCACCAGTAAGTTTATTGTAACGATTTAGTTGAAAATTGTTTCAGGTTGTTACACTAGAATCCGAACATGCATATCAGACAAATTTTTCATAATTATTTTAAAGTTTTTTTTAAAAAAATTCTGTTCAGAAGCTGCTAAACTGACATTATTTCTTTCATTATTTTTTATATATTTTTCTTTTCGTTTTTTTAAATCAGAAGAATAAATTTTTTGTACTGAACAAGTATAGTCACTAACAGAAAATAAAACAAATTTCCTATACATAAATAGTACTGCTGAACAATGTATTCTTAATCAAAAGAAAATCTACTAGACTACATAGCAGTTTTACAGCATTTTGTATCTGCTCAGCAATTCACATAAAAACAAAATCATGCAAATTTCTTCGCAGTGTTACTTACGGATAACGGATAGCAATATGTTTTTTTTTTTTTTTTTTTTTTTTTTTTTTTTTTTTTTAAAGCACACCAAGCTTATCAGCCTAATTGGAAGGGTGCCTTCGTGAAGGACTTTCTAAGGAAGCTGGGTCATATATGTATACATGGGAGGGGGGAACACGAAAAATCCGGGCAGCCAGCCTGGATTATAACCCTAGTCAGAACTACCAGCATTCTTACTGTTCGGCCGCTGGTGGGCCGGACAGCAATACGAACAGACTCATCAACTGCAAGGGATTAACTACCCTAAATCTTACGTAATATTTGATCTTCAAAGTGAAGACGAAAACTGAAATCCAAGTCCAAAGTAAACATTAGATATATCTTGGAACCTCAGAGCAATTACGTACCTGTTTTTCCAAGTAGATTAATTGTGTACCTGCTTTTTCAAGTACATGAGTTTAGGACAAGACACCTGCCTAACTATAAGATCTCTTTCTTCATGTTACTAAAAGAATGATTAAAAAATTATTTAAACTACCTTCTTGAAATGAACACACTTTATAAATTTCATAGATAAAGTACTCACGTACAAGCATATTTTACAATTAATCCAACGTCTTAAAAAATTATGTCGACATTAAGAATATTATAATTATTAACAATATTTCAAAATGAATCTCTGCTCCACTGACTGTAATTACAATACAAAAAGTAGTAATTTCGTTTCGAGAGGTTCGCGTTCCTCTTCTCTCCATCTTATAAATAGTTAGAATTCATTTGTACAAATGAATACTTTCAGATACCTTATAAGAATACTGAATAACACACTGCGCAACTTACTCTGAGAAAACATGAAACGTTTGTCATGAATTTAACATTATCAATATAAATGACCTATTTTGGCGAACATACGAAATAAATCTTAAATAATCACAACCTGAAGAATTTTGACCCAAAGAAAAATTAAATGTATCTTCGAAACACTGGCAAAGAATTATCGCCCAGGAATTTCTAATTTCATCTTTTCTGATCCATGACTCATATTTATTGATTAGAAATTTCAAGATCTTGCCTTATCTGGGGAATGCATAATAAAATACCACAGCAGATGAGACTAATTAAATCCTGTAATTTAGATGTGAGGAAGAGATGAATAGTTTTGGTCTTCCCCCAATGTTGAGGCTAAATAGTGTTTTCAAAGCTGAAGTTTCCTTCAACCTTACCATCAAGCAAACTTGTCAGGATGCTCGCAAGGGAAGTTTGTGGAAGGGGAAGACGGACTCTCTTGGACACGCTGAATTAGGGGAAGCATTTGGCGTAGCATTGGTGGTGCGAGAACCCCCGGAATGTTCATGTACCGTGACACGCTGCTCCCACAGACTGGCACATGCTAGCTGCAGGTGACTCACCACCCTGTCACCCAGGACTTACAGACAGTCCTGCTCTAACTTTAAGCACGGCTGTGACAAGAAAAACACAAAGCCGACTTGCTGCCATTAAGCATGCCAACACGACAGCTGTTAGCTGATAATTACTAAACTGGTCGTTAAAACAATAATGGTTGTTTTACAATTCTTTCAGTTTAATGAAAAATTAATTTTTTGATTTTCTGCATATATAATTGATATTAAATAAGGAAACAGACATTTTCAGGAGAATACTAATGCGCATTATTTCACTACAGTACATCCAACGGTAGACATTTTTCATGCATCCAGAAAAGTCGATTTGGTGCTTCCAATATGTTAAATTGCGTTAAACTAGACTTTAGGTATTCACTAACTTTGAAAATAAAACCGATAAAACAACTCAGTTAAAATTCTCTTCACATCTCATACCAATCTAAATAAAAATAAATAAAAAATAGAATAAAAAAAATTAAGATCAGCAGCAATTAAAGTGCAATGAATTACAGTGAAAGTAATACAAAGTAAGCGTTCTCCACTGATGGAGGTCAATAAGAGCCCAGCGTCTTTAGATAGGCCATCATACAACCATTCCTTTTAAAATTCTCTTAAGTTCTCGAACAGAAATTTACATATATATTAAAATCAGTTCCAAACGTTATCAGAACATGCATTTGTTTATTATTTGGCATATATATACATATTTTTAATAAATAAAACAATAGAAGACAAACCCACCTCTCTCTGCTGCTGCTGTGCAAGTATTTGTTCCCGCACTTGCTGAAGGTGAGCGATCATTTCTGTTAAGACGCGTTCTTTATCCGAAATACTTTTCTCAGATAGGGCAGCTTTGATTGCTTCGCTGTCCATCAGCAAAGTACTCCCCTCGCCGCTCCTGCAAAAAATTCGAATTTGTCACATATCATATATAGTAAGTTCTCAAGCATCAGTGCAGACTGAATTTGCATTTGAGTACATTTAACCAAATAATTAAAGATTAACAAATAAAGCTCAGCTCTCCGAAATCAATGGTTCTCGGCATTACGCGTCTCCGGATAAGAAGTTTTCTAAAACAAATAAATAAATAAAACTGAGTCTTTTCATATGTTGTATTAAAAATTGGCTTTACCTTTAAATTTAGTCATTTAAATAAAAAAAAAGGGGGGGGAACACACACTCCTCACTTGAAGTTACTATTTTTAACTATTAAAAAGATTCCATGAAATTAGAAAAATGCGTTATGAAAATGATAGCATTAGTTTGTGGCATTTAGGTATAAGTTTTCCGAACAAAACGTTATTTTAATTTATTTCTTTCCTTTCTGCCACGAAGCTCGCTCATTCCAGAATTTAATTTTAAAAAGTTTTAGAGATTTACGAACTAAGTGTGAGGAGATTAGTCTACGTTCCAAACGAAGAAATTTTCTGCAAGATTGAAGAAATGTTGACGACGCTAATGCTGGCCTTGCTGGGAATACTTTAGACTGAGGTTACAGCCTGTTTGGTAAGTAAGTGTTTGAAATTCTGTCGCGGTCTAGGCAATCTGGTAATATCTAGTCATATTAGATTTAAATTGCTACATTTATATCCTTTCTGAAAGGAGACTGACATTTAAACCAGGTACAGGTTGTCTGGTAAATTTATGTTTTCATATTTAAGCACTCACAAGTAGTGAGGTAGACAAATAGAAGTGTTTTAATTCTGTTTGATGGTTAGATATTCGGTTGGTGATAATTCGCATCACTGAACAAGTGTAATACGTTATTGATATAGCTAAGTTATTTGAAATTCACAACAGGCCTTCGTTACAAGTTGACCTTATGAGTACCCCCCCCTCAAAATAACAAGAAATTTTTATTTTAAAAAATTATAATATCCCGCAAATAACCGTAACCTTCTAGTTTTAAAATTCTCTCTCTCAGATTATTATTACATCAAATATAATCTATTATAAAGAAAGGCAAAAATTTAATTCGGAGCATTTGTTTTAAACCTCTTTTGTGATTAAATTAAAAGTTTTAAATAGTTATGTAGAGAGTAATTTATTCCCATTCAAGGAATTCTCATTTTATAAGAAGTCCAGCGGCCGAGCGGTAAAATTGCTGAACACTGTAGTTCGTTCCGGATTTGAATCTCGGCGAACGAGCTTGCTGCATGGCGTTTTGTGTAATGTGTATAAGAGCCAGTTTACCTAAGAAAGTCCGCCACGAAGGCATTCCTCCCCTTAGGCAGATAGCCCTTGAAGAATATGACCAGTTCTCCTATATCTCCCACCGAAGGCACCTCACTCCCTAGAATTCAAAACTTCGAATAATATGCATTTACATAAACTTTTATACAGACTTACTTTTTTGACAACATTAAACAATAAAATTATTTATTTACCTAAACATAAAACAAATTTCTATTTTAACAATTTTTTAATTTCTGTTTATCATTTTCCGCTATGATGTATTATATATATTTAATAATTACATAACATGTTAAAATTATTTAAAAATTGAGCATAATTAAATTGTTTAATTAACAACATTATCATTCTTTAAAATTTGATTATAACCTCCTATTTTTTTTTCATAAAATATCAAATGACTAATTTCATTCAGTACGGTTTTAAGCTTAAAGAAATCGTTGAAAAATTCAAAAGAATGAAATTATTACATTCATTCATTTAATTACGTTTTGCTTAAATTCATACTCCAATAAAAGTTTTTATAGTTTATCAGTCAGTCAATTTTAATCGCATTTATGCGCATTTTCTTCAACATCAACTTTCATCTCTTTAGTCCAGAACAGACGTTAGTCTCGAAACTGCATTTTGCGTCGAAACACTTGAATGCGTTTGTCACGCTGTATTATATTTAAAGAAATTAAATAATGAAGAATCTGCAACAATGTATGTATGATTCTTGCGCTGTGGGGGGGGAAGGAACCTACAGCCATCAAATTTTAGTCTTTCACTCGAACATGGGTAGAATTTTAGAACCCCGAATTTTTAATTTCGAATTTGTTTTATTATTTATTCTATATTTTGTAAAACCTTTAACGAATTTGTGATTAAAAAACTCAACGATTTCAAAGCGAGCAGTGGCAATACTGTACGGAAAATATATATATATATATATATATATATATATATATATCTATATAATATCTCAGACATCGAAAAGTATAAAGATATGCATTTTTATGTATTTGGTGATTTTGCTGTTGAATTGAATTTTATGTGGCGTAAGCTAAAAGAATAAAAAGTTTTGTAAAGCCATCTTGGTAAGAAAAGCGAACATTGATTTAAATTGTATATATTGTTGCTGTTGAATTATATAAGGCATAAATGCGAAGAAAATGATGCTTAATAATAAAGCTAAAAAGACCAAAAAATTGGGTTAGTATTAGTGAGTGTAACAGCAGACTGGTAGACTGTAAGCTCAGCAAGAGTGTAAAAAACCTAACAACCAACCTTTTAGGTACCCGTTAAAATCTGAAAACTTTTTTTTTTTTTTTTTTTTTATTGTTTTGTTTTTTTAATCTTTACTGAATTTCAATTTAAACAGGCGATATCAGTTATTCAGTTCCCTTTGCCATTTCATATTAGTAAACAAAGAATTAAACGTTAATGGGAAAAAGAATATAATTCAGCATTTCGACGAAGGTCTGCAATAAGAATTTAAGTGCTGCGTTTTTTCTTTTCTATGTGTAAAAGCAATTATTCCACAAAATTTGCCGTTGCAATCATCGCGGACCCGTAAAAGATGTCAATTATAACTCGCGGCTCCCGAAATGCCGGATAGATCAACACAGCATATAATTTTCATGGTACATATTACGTATGTTAGAATTTTTTGGTAGTGAAAGTACTAGTATTTTCTTTTTAATTCACTTTATTTTCTTATTTATGCAAAGAAAAAAATATAAGAAGCTTTAACAATTATTAAAAACGGAAATAAAGCAAAATTTGCTTTATATTCAACATTTATTTAAATATGAACGAGTTGTACTTGAGTGGTATACTTTAGAAAGAAATCAGGCTGCCAAAAAAAAAAAAAAAAAAAAAAAAAAAAAATGAATCGTAATAATGGAACTACGTTATGTAATCATATTTTTCTTATTACATTTAAAAGGAATTGTAAAATACTTTATGCAGTTCTTAATTCAATAAACTAGTTTTTCGGGATTATTTTAACAAATAAAAATGAAAAATATAAAAATTGACATTGGCAAGGTAATTTATTATTTAATTTTTTAAAATTTCTTTACAAAATATTTTTACTATTCTTCTGGTTTTTTATAGGCGTATATGTTTATTAACTTTCCTTCAAATTAATTTATTTTGGTGTTTTTATATTTAATTTTTAAACTATTAAATTTTTGGTAAAAACGACCTGCTTTATAAATTCAGTAACACAACAACCTTGAGTTTGGCGTAGATTTAAGTCAAGATCTCAATCGAGGGCAAACAGGTACAGGTCCCTCTTTATCAAGAACAAAGAAATCTGCAAAACTTGTGTTTATCGGTTCCTGTTTTATGCGAAGTTCGTATTTTTTGACAAAGAAATCATAGCTCCACAGTGTCAAAAAACTGGATTTTTGCCATCCTAAATCTGTGCTTACTGTGACATTTGTCTCTGCTAGCTCAGATAGACCCCACTGTGAAAGGCCCAATGAAGGGTTCAGACGAGGGCTTTACGGACACAACTGGGTTAAGCCCACCTTCCGTTGCTGGCAATCGACTACGAAACCTACGTCGAGGAAACCGCTACACTGATTTTGTCTAAATGTCCTCAGGAAGCGTTCAGACGGAGGCTTTATTGTCACAAGTTGCGTGAGCCTAACTTATGTTACTTGGCAACCAGCCATTGCTATATCACGGTCTTTGTGTAAGAATTTTGTCTAAATATTTTAACTGTTCAACATTACGCCAACCTAGTATAAGAACCAACCAAACATACCGAAATAAACATGAAATGACATCCGGTCGATGATTTAGCTGCGTCAGTTGCACATTCACGCAAGTTAACTTCCTTGACTCGGTATGGCTTAGATGCTGTTCCACATACAGTGGATGGACAAAAATATGGAAACACCTTGTGAAATGCATGTTTGAAAAGAAAAATTGATTTTAATGAAATATGTAGGTGGCGCTGGCGTTTTTGACTACTGACGCCACCTATACAACTTCGTAAATGTGCTAAACAGTTCAGTTGTTGTCGGAGTACTGTTATGTGAGGTTGTCATTGCATTATGTCAGAGTTAACAACTTCGAACGTGGCAAAATTGTTGGAGAGCTTGTATGGTAGGTGCTTCCGTAAGCAAGGTAGCCGAGGGGTTTAGTGTTTTCAAGAGGTACTGTATCGAAGATTATTCCGCATAGTTGAAAAGCGGAAAAAACATCATGCTAAATCACAGCGCGGACGAAAGTGTGTCCTGAGTGATCGTGACAGACGATCATTAAGGGCAATTGTAACGATAAATAAGAAGACCACCAGCTGCAAAAGTTACTGCTGAAATGAATGTTGTGTACCAAACCTGGATACCAAACCAATGAACTTCATGAACAGGAATTGCTGGCCGTGCTGCAATTGAGAAGCCACCATCAGTGATGCTAATGCCCGTAACAGGAAAAGGTGGTGTTTAAGGGACTATAAGCAGTGGAAAGAGTAATATGGTCTGACGAGTCTTCTTTCACATTGTTTCCACTTCTAGCCGAGTTTCGTCTGGAGGAACGCCATCTCAAGCCTTAATAATACAGACTGCTTGTTGCCTGCCAAGAGTAAGAGTGAAAACATGCGGGGGTTTCTTTATGGTTTGGGCAGCCATATCGTGGTTCTCTGCTAGCCCCCTGATAATTGTATCAGGGCACATGGCTGCCAAACTTATGTGAACATTTTGGCCGATC